AACGAGGGCTCCCTGTCCGTGTCCCCTCCCCACACGCTACCAGGCAAAGGGAGGGCCGGCACCCGTATGCCAGGTCGGCGCAGCCATCTTCCCGGGGCTCCCTTCCCCCTCCTGCGTGTGGATGGCGGAGGCCTGGGAGCCAGCGTGGGGAGGGGGAGCCGGCGCCGGGAGCATGAGCAGTGCAGGGATGCTTTCCCAGCCAGCCCAGGATGCTGCTGGCTAGCCAGCATCTCTCCTCCCCTTGCAGGCAGGGGCCGGGCACGGTGACGCTGCGGCCTGGTCCTGCACCTGCCTGGAGACGGGGCCGCTAGCTGCAGCCTCTGCAGCTCCCCACCCACCCGCATCCTGCCAGGGCAGGGGGATCTCCGGGCCTGGCATCGCTCTGGGTTGCAGGGGGAGGCCTCCCCGGAGAGGGATGCTCCCGCATCCCTGCAGGGATCTGGCTGCCGGAGGGACAGCAAGCTGCTGAAGCAGGACCGCGACGCCTGGGCCGGGGGGGCCAGTGCCCTTGGGCCTGGGTCACCTTCACCGGTCCCTGCCTCCAGCACTGCAGCAACTTTCTGCCATGTGACCACGGAGCTTGGATCCATCCCTGCTCCATCCCTGGCGCCGGCCCCGCAGCCATGGGGGAGAAGTCGGACTACCAGCGCTTGGGCAGCGCCGAGGAGGACGATGAGGCCTTGAGCGCCCGCCCCGCCACCTTCCCGGAGGGCGCTGGGCGCAGGTCCCCACGGCTGCTAAACGGGAACTCTGGGCCTCCGCGGCAGGAGATGCCACCGAGCGGCCAGGCAGCGCCCGGCCAGAGGGTCAGTACAGCGGGGCCACGCGGGTGCTGGGTACCAACTGGGCTTGTGCACGGCTGCTTGGAGTCCCCCGTCCCGTTGCGCCTTGATTGCTGCAGTGTCCTGGGGGCGTTGTGGGGTGATACACAGGTCTAAAAAGTGCCCATCACCCTCAGTGGCAGCTCTTGTAGGCCTGGGGCAGGGCAGGGCAGGGCAGGGCATGATGCCCCGGCCCCCCAGGCCTTGGCCTGCCTGCACTGGGCTGTATTGCAGAGGTGGAAAGCATCGCTTTCCTGGGAGCACAGCGGGATGGGAGGGCTGGGAAGAGGAGACGTGCATGCTCAGCTGCATGGTCCATGCTGTTTTATAGCAGGGAAACTGAGGCACGGCAGGGCGGTGCAAAGCACTGCGGACCCCAGCTCTCAGGCCTGCTAGGAACGGCTTGAAAAGTGGACATGCGGCTCCCAGGGGACTCTGGCAGCGGGCGCGTGGCTTGCCCCTAGGAAGGGGGGCTGTCTGCTTCCCCTGCCTGCACACCCCTCGCCCACAGAGATCGGGCCGTGCCCAGCAGTCGGGGCCTGGCACTGCGCAGCATGATTCACTAGGAGGAGACTGGGGGCTGGAGGAGCAGTGGCCTTGGCAGGGGGTCGCGGGGCTGAGATAGCAGGGCGTCACGGGAGTGGCAAGGCAGGGACAGGCTGGCAGGGCCAGGCACGGGCGGCCGGAGGCTGGAGGAAGGCAGGCACTGAGGGGTGAGGGGCAGGAGCCAGGCGTGATGGAGAGGGCGACAAGGTGAGCTGGCAGAGCTGTGCATAGACAGCCCCAGGGCAGGGCCTGGCATCACTATCCCTTGCGGGCGGCCGGCCAAGCTCCAGCCAGACCCCTGACCCCAAGGGGAGCAGGGCCATGGTGGGTTGGGGTGGGGCACTGCAGGCCCCTGGAACTGAAACCCCCCCAGCTCCATGGGCAGCCCCCCCATAGTGCCCCCGTGGGTGGAGGGGCGTGCAGGGTGTCCCTGAGGGGCCAGGTATATGTGGGGCACACTGGAGGCAGTGCTTCAGGTGGGCAGCTGCCCTCTGAGACCCCTTGGCTTGCACATCCAGCTATGGCCCAAACCGGGCTGAGTCATGCTAGAAAGCATCATGGGTCGGGCAGGTTTCCATGAAGACACATCCTGGCGACACCCCCCCATCTGTGCTAGGCCAGAAGTAAGGGATGCCTGGGCATGGGACTCTGCTGGCAGGCAGGCACCAGAGCCCCGGGGCAGGGATTGGGGCTTCCCGACGGGACATCTTCTCCATGTTTTGGTGACCACGGTCTTTCCATGAGGCTCCCCTCGCAGCTCCCCGTGCCCAGGTGGCTGGAATGGGGAAACTGAGGCTGACCCCTGCACCCACAAGAGCATCTTTAGGAGCCTCATCGGATTCGAGCCCTGTCCCCACTGTGTCTTTGGGAAGGAGGGGAGAGAACAGCCCTGGCACCCCCATGCTGTGTGCGTGGGCTGCCTGCTCCCAAGAGGGGGAAACTGAGGCACGGAGGGGCTGCCTGGCTGGACGTCTGTTATGCAATGTCCCTGTGGCCTTGTCTGGCCAAGTGGAGGTGGGGGATCAGGAAGGCATTTTACCCCGGGGCAGATCTGCATGGGCTGCGGGGGTTTTGCCGTCCTCTGTAGCAGGGAATGTGGCTCTGGGCATCTTCGGCAATGGGCCTCGTAGTCGCGTGACAGGCTTGACCGCGCCGTTCTAGGGACGGGTCGGACACGGACGTGCCTGGGGTGCTTTGGACGGGGCCGATCCTGCCTCCAGCAGGGGCCTGCGCTAGCTCTCACCCTCCAGTGTACCCAGCTTTGCTGCGACTCCTCCGTGTCTTTCCTGGCACGCCCTGAGCTGGCTCGGGAGCTGTCCTCTGCATGTGCATGCACCCGGCGATGCAGGGGGACCTTCTCGCCTTCGGGGCTGGGCATCAGCCCCCGCCAAGCAGCCTCCAGCCCTGCCCCGCTCTCATGGAGGATGCCCTGTGCCACGCTGCCCTTGCTGAGCTCCCTGCATGGCAGGGTCTGGCAGCCCCCTGTGCCTGGCAGCTGTGCCAGCCCCTCCTCGCGCCTGGGCTGTGCCCGGCATGTCAATGAGGCGCCGGCAGCTGCAGCCCCTAATTGGGGAAGCAGGACACACCTGCGCTTGGCCCTCTGCCCGCTCCACTTCCTTTCCCACCGCCCTGGACAGACGGGCCCTGTCTCTGACGGAGCCCGATCCTGCCCGGGGCTGCGCAGGCTTGAATCCCATCGCAAGCTGTTGCGGGGGGGCTCTGTGCACCGCCATGCCCCTGCTCTGCCCGCCTGGCTGAGCGTGGCAGCCCCAGATGTCTCGGTGCGTGACCTTTGGGGGGGGCTAGCGTGCCTCCCCGCTGCTTGGCCAAGGGGGGCTGGGGGGTGCCTGGGGAGAAGGGAAACCCATAACCTGGGGCACGACTGCCCCTGTGTTTGGAGCACACGTGCGTGTAACCAGCTGCTGTGCTTCGCCTCTGGGGGGGTGGGGAGGGAGGGTACCCCTGGGGCTGTCCACCAGCCATCACCTGGATGCCACGACCTGAGCGTGACAGGCTGCCTGAGTTTGCAGAGAGCCTGGGCCTTACCCTGCCCAGCTCCGGGGGGGGGCGCTTTAACCCTTTCATTGCTTACCAAGGGGGGCAAGAAAGCATCCGTGCATGGCAGGGCATACAAAAGGGGGGCACAGGAGATGCATGCATTGAGGTCACCGGAGGGCAACGTTGTCCTGTGTTTTAAGGGGGGGGAGTGGTTAACTCTGCTAGGCTCCTTATTTAGGGAAGGGACATCCGGGCCAGGCAGCGCGGCACAGGGGCCTCTTGGCCTCAGCTGGTTTTGCAAGCAGGGGTCCCAGGGGGGCTGTGAGGGAGGAGGAGGGCAGGTCAGGCCGGGGTCTGGCCGCCTCCGGCCGCCCGCGGTCTCCTCTCTCTCACGCCACGAGCAGCCTCTGTGGAGCTCCGGGGCCGCGCGTTTGTCCAGCTGTTCTCCCCGGGGACCCGCCGGGACCCGGTGCTAGACAAGGAAGCAGTGTTCGGGAGCCAGCCCTGCGCCTGCCAGGCCTCCGCCGCTCTCCCTGCTTGGCACGGGGACAGCCCCGTGCTTTGGGACGCCCCAGGGAGCCGCGGGGGTGCAGGGGAAGCGCGCAGCCCTGTCCCCGCCAGCCCGGGCCAGCTGTCAGGTGCACCGCACAGGAAGCGCTGTGTGGAGATGCGGCGCGCGGCCAAGAGCTGGGGAGACGCGTGAGCCCCTGGGTGCGGCCGCGGGGTGCCCGTGGGGAGGCAGGTGGTGCGAGGAACAGCCCCAGTCCAGCTGGCCGGGGGTGGAGATGGGGCCCCTGGGCCCCGTGTGTTCATGAGATCTTGGCGATGCCTCCACGTGTGGTGTGGGAAGGGGACAGGCCTAGGACTGGGGGGCGGCTGGCCTGTCGGCAGGGAATGACCCTGGCCCTGGGCTGCCCCCGGCTCCCTGAGCTCAGCATTGCTGTCACTTGGAGCCAGCGTTTTGCCCCCAGCCACCGAGGGGGAAGAGCTGTTGGCCCCCACAGCCCACCCCGCTGGCCCCACTTGCTGCTGGCATATGCCTGGCTCTGAGCAAGCCCCCCAGCTCTGCAGCGGAGAAAGGAGGGTGACACAGGTGCATCGAGAAACAGGATCCTTGGCTGGTCCTGCTCTCCCTGACCCTGTGTCCTGGGGAATCGGCTCCGGAGCTGCCCCGGGTCACGTCTGCCCATCACCGAGCATGCGGGCATGGCCACCTCGGGGCATCAGGGGGAGAAGACCACCCTGAGGCCTCGGGGGACATGGACATTCCCACCTGCCTCCAGCCGCTGCAGGTAGCGGGACTGCCCCCGGGGTCCAGGGCCTTTCAGCACCACGTGGGGCTGGGGCTGGACACGGGACTCGCATCAGTCCTTGCTGGGCTCCGACCATGGGGGACGTTTTGCAGGTAGAGACGCCCGTGCGGACGGGACACTGCTTGTGCTTCGCGCGTGCCCATCCCCAGGGCGTCTGGGCTTGGAGGAGCCACATGCTTTGTATACAGAGGGGTTCCCTGTGACCTGCCCATTGCAGACTCAGGCTTTCCTAGCGGGACGGTTGCAGACCCAGCCTGGTTGCTGGAGCTGAGATGGCCAGGCCTTGTGGCATGGCCACGGCAAACCGGAACCGTCCCCCGGGAACGCTCGGTCTGCAGCTCGGATATCCAGGTCACCAGGGCTGGACTATGCCCCCCTCTCCCTCCCTTCCCCCTCCCAGTGCAAACGAACCGAGGGCAGCAATGCGACCCCCGTTTGCGTGTGCGCGGGGTGGCGGGGGGAGCACGGGTGGATAACGGGGCGCCGAGGAGCGCGTGAGAGAGGCCGGGAGAGCGGAGGAGACTGAGGAGCTGTTTGAAATCCCAAGCAAGAGGCCCACAGGAAACAGACTCTCCAGCCCGCAGTTAAATCTGACCTCTTGGCTGCCGATCAAAAAGCGTTCCCTGCGAATACCATAGCGTCTCTGTTCCAGCCAGGCGGGCGGACGCGGGAGTGAGGGGTGGGAGCAACTCGCCGCGGCCTGCAGGCACGGGAGGGGGGCCGCCGCCGAACACGCACGCGGGCCCCGCAGTGCCCACGCCACGGAGCTGGGAGCGGCGGTGCCGAACCGTGGGCACCCTCCGTCCCGCGCCCCCTGCCTCCGCAGGATCTGTTGCGAAAGCGGAGGCTCGGGAAGGGGGATGATGGCTGGGGCCCCGGCTTCGGCGTGATGCCAGGCTCCCGCCCGCGCACGCAGCCCCACGCCAGCTCCTGATCCTGGGGACGGCCCCCCCGACCTGGGTTTTATGGAGGAGCTGTGCCCGTGTCCCCGGGGCCCCGGCAGAAGCGACCACGCAGGCTGCCAGCCCTCCCGGCACGGCGTGGTGGCCGCGCGGCAGCCGGAGATCTGCAGAGTGCCTGCCGGCGGGGACCAGCTGCGATGACCTGTGCGCAGCGTCCTGCTCTCTCCCCCTCCGGGTCCATCTGAGAGACTTCAGTGTCCAGCTCTGGGCTGACCCACGGGAGCGGATCCTGCGCCTCGGCCTGTCTCGTGGGCGGCCGACGGGGTCGGGGCAGCCCCAGCCCAGCGTGGTGCTCGCTCATGCTGGAGGAGCCGGTGCTGCCACGAACCGGGACAGCCGTGTGATGCGTGCAGGAGTCTTGCCAAGGGCCGTGGTCTCCTGCTCTGCGTCCCCTCCTGCACTTACCCTGGCAGGGCCAGGACTAGAGCTCCCGGGACTTACTCTCAGCCTGCGCCTGGAGAGCCGGCAGCGCCCGGCCGGCAGGAGCAGAGATGCATCGCTTCGAGGCCCTGCGCCGCTCCCTGCCCTTCCTGGCCCACTTCCGCGTCTACCGTGTAAGTCCCTTTGCCTCCGTCTCCGCCTGCATTGCCACGGGGGAGCTCCTTGCCTGGGGGGGGCCGTGCTGCTGGGCTTGTGGGGTGCATGGGTTGCATGGCATGTCGAGGACGGCACTGCAGCCCCTAGCCTTCCCCCCACGCCCCTGCTCCAGGCTCCCCTCCACACGCTCCCCTTCGTTGCCGGATGCTCCCTCGCCCTGCAATGAGGATGGGGGTCCCCGTGGCTGGCTTCCCGGCTCACGTCTCTGGCATGCCCCCTGCCCCACGGGGGACACCAGGGGCCTGTCTCCGGCCCCCAGGCACTGCCGCACCCACCGTATTTTTAGACCGGACTCCGCCGCGCAGGGAATTTTAGTGGTCGCGCTGCGGCTCGGAGCGGCTGTAACCCAAGAATCCCCTCCTGGCCCCCGGGCTGGGGGTCCGTGGAGAGAGGCGCAGCAGTGGGTTGGTATTCGGGGGGCTGCAAAAGGCCAGGCAGGACACAGCTAGAGATGGGGTGCAGCAGACAGAGGCGGGGTGCCCCCAGGAGCAAGCCACAGTGCCAGGACC